GCCCGCCCGCCCGCCCGCCCGCCAACCCTGCCAGCGAGCGCTGGGCCTGAGGCGGCGCCCGGTCTAGACTGAGCGTGAACTGAAGCTGCGCTTCAGACTTGCGGGAAAGGAGTCGTTTGTAATGAAATAAAAATGTTCCGTGAGCGGAGCGCGGTGTCGAGCGCGGAGCACATGACACGTAGTGAGGAGGAAAACTGTCAACAGAACAAACCAGGAACCAACGGAGAACTAGAGAGACGGTTGCCGCGGCCACGTGCTAGGTTTAGTGGAAAAGGAACAGGAAACGCAAGCCAGGGAGAGACGAGCATGCCGGGAATCCCTCGGGAGACTGGGGCCGGAGCCGCGTCCCAGGACAAACCCGGGTAAACAGCTAGAGCCTGGGGTGGGAATAAGGGACAAGAGGGAGGGGAGGAAAGGAAGAGAAGAGAGAGCAGGGTGCAGAGAGGCAGAAAGGAAGAAAGAAAATAAAGTATAGGAAATGTTAAGCATATTAATTAGACTCTTGGAAACTTCTAGAGTTGAAAATTAGTGTCTGAGATGGAGATGCATGTAGTGGGATTAACAACATCAGAGGGAGAAAAACTGAACTTAACACTAACTTTCCAAAATAAAATCAGAAAAATTAGGATAATTATGCACATAGTATCAGCGAGTTGCAAGGCAGGAGCAGGAAGCTTGAGTAAGTGTAAGCACCACTTGAGAAGCGGAACTGTTTTTTGGTCTTTTCTGGTACTGGGGAGCAAAGCCAGGACAGTGCACTGGCTAGGCCAGTGCTTCCTGTTTAAAATTTTAATCGATGAAAATCATAACTCTACAAGTTCAAGAAGCTCAATGAACTGTAAACACTAGAAAACTCTACCAAGGCACATCATAACCTATTTGTTCAAAACCATAAATAGAAAATTCTTCAAAAGCCGTCAAAGGAAAAGAACATATTACAGGTAGACACTCTTGTCCCCAAGCTGTGGAAGCCCAGATGCAAATGTGGGGGATGGACAGTAAGTTCTGGGAGTCACCACAGATGTCCTTCACAGAAGGTGAAACATTTGTCAGACATTCAAGGGCTGGTTACTAGTATACCTGAGTCAGGAAATGTTAAGGGAAAACTAGACATAGTGGTTCACAACTGTAACCCTAGTGCTTGAAAGGATGGTAAGTTCAAGACCAGTCCAGAGCTAGCCTTTTGTGGCTCACACCTGTAATTCTAGCTACTGAGATCTGAGGGTAATGGTTCAAAACTAGCCCAGGCAGGAAAGTCCATGAGACTCTATCTCCAGTTAACCACCAGAAAATGGGAAGTAGAACAAAAAGTGGTAGAGTCTTGTGCAAAAAGAGTCCAAGGACAGCATCAAGGGCATGAGTTCAAGCCCTATGACCACCACCACCACCACCAAAAAAGACCAGCCCAGGCTATATAGCAAGACCCTGCCTCAAATGCATGTATTCTGAATAAATAAGTTTAAAATCCCAAGAAGAAAGGTTAAAGAAATGGCTGGGCACTGGTGGCTCATGCCTGTAATCCTAGCTATTCAGGAGGCTGAGATCTGAGGATCACAGTTTGAAGCCAGCCTTGGCAGGAAAATCCATGAGACTTTTTTTTTTGGTTGGTCATGGAGCTTGAACTCTGGGCCTGGGCGCTGTCCCTCAGCTCTTCAGCTCAAGGCTAACACTCTACCACTTGAGCTACAGCACCATTTCCAGTTTTCTGGTGGTTTAGTAGAGATAAGAGTCTCATGGCCTTTCTTGCCCGGGCTTTGAACTGCAATCTTCAGATCTCAGCCTCCTGAGTAGTATTATAGGCACGAGCCACCGAGCCACTGCCCCCGGCTCTGTGAGACTCGTTTCCAGTAAACTACTCAGAAAAAGCTGGAAGTGGCTCTTAGTCAAACTGGTAGAGTGCTATCCTTGAGCACAAAGAAGCTCAAGGATAATGTCCAGACCCTGAGTTTAAACCCCAGGACTGGCAAAACAATAAAAAAAGAAATGTCAAGCTGAAGAAAAGTAATACTGTATGGCTGATTGTTTTGTGTTAGCTGGTTTGGTTTTAGTGTTTTGTGCATGTTTATTCAGACTTAATTTCTTCCCCTTAATACCCCAGTATAATGTTAATAATCTTTACTTACTTCTCTCTACTTTCCCACTAACCTCTTGTGTCAAGCTTAGTTTCCGCCCCTTCCTTTCCTATATAACCAGATTCCTAGTATGCATTACTGTTACCCCCATGTCTCCTTCCTGTAATCACGCTGGTTAACTAAGATCTTATTAGAGCACAAAGATCCATTTTTGCTTCTATATTCATCTACAGATAGTGGATCAGTAGGAGTGACCAGTCTTCACTAGGAGTGCCACACACGTAGGTTATAGTTTGTCAACTACCTTCGCTTTTGTAGCCAAGCATCTATACTCTGAGTGGAAAATAATTCCACAGTATCCTGAGTATTGAACTGGATTTTTAAAGCAACATACCTCTCTAACAACCCAGCCATGACCCAATCTTAAGGAAGCTTCATTAATCAGCAGCTAAAAGGACATGGGAGATTGAAATCCCCGTCAGCTCTTGGTCCTGTGTATATAAATCCCTGTGAAAAATCACTAAATTCATGAACTGACAAAGCAGCAAGGCCAAAAACTCCATAGCAAAGGACCTAAGTGACAATGAAGAGGAAGACATTTCAAACAACCTTTTTTTTTTTTTTGTCGGTTGTGGGGCTTGAACTCAGGGTCTGAGTACTATCCCTGAGCTTTTCTGCTCAAGGCTAGTGCTCTACCACTTTGAGCTACAGTGGCATTTCCGATTTTCTGGTGGTTAATTGAAGAGTCTCACGGACTTTCCTATCTGGGCTGGCTTTGAACTGTGATCCTCAGATCTCAGCCTCTTGATAGCTAAGAGGCCATTGATGCCCAGTTCCAATTTTCATTTAAATGACTAGAATGTAAATGTAATATTAAGGGGTGAATGTATAGCAGCAGAATGAATTCAAGGGAAATGCATGCCAACAAGGAACTGAAAGCAATAAAGAAGACATTGTAGGGTGTGAGAAGAATTCATTGATACAGAGAGCCTGACTGAAATGAACTGCTCAACCTCAAATAAAAATTTGACCAATGGGACTGGGAAGGTGGCTCAGTGGTAGAGCGCTTGCCTTGCATGCATGAGGCCCTGGGTTCAAATCTGTAGCACTTAGTCTCCCGAGTTCCCCTCGCTGGACACCTCCACTTGCTCCTTGCCTTCCTGGTCTGCCTGCTGCGCTTCCTCAGGTGTCCCTCCCCCCCCCCCGCCCCCCAGCTCCTCTGGGATGCTGGAGACACTGTGGTCACTGACCTGCTGGGCTCTGGTGCCCACGCCTTAATTCTCCCTGCGGTAGCCGCCACCGGCAGTCACACTGGCCTTGGAAGACTGGATGGACAGATGGACGGTGTGCCTGGGGGAAGTGCTGGGGTGCTCCCCCACCCCCAGGATCCACAGCGACATCAGCTCACAGAAGAGGAAGGCCACGGCCGCACCCACTCGTGTTCCCCGGCCCGGCCGTTGGAAGCTGTGGCGAATGCGGATGCCAAAGCCCTGGCCAGGGCCAGGCGCGGGCAGCGGGCAGCGGGCAGCACAGAGGCACAAAGCCCGTCTCGGCCCCAGGCTCTTCTCAGAGGCTGCGGGCGCAGCCCCAGGACGGGCGGCACTTCAGGCTACGGAGCCGGGGTGGGGGCAGGGGGGTCTGGATGAAGACCTTTCTATCACACCAAATAAAAGGCTGCTGAAATATTAAACCGAAGGAATTGGGCAAGCTGCCTTTCGACATAGTTTGGAAAATGGAGGAGGAAGACCTTAGGAGACAGAACGGTTTTCCCACGGGCGCCTCAGGTGTTTGCTGCGCACAATGGCAGCTCCGTTGCGCACAGCAGCGCGCGGGGAAGAGCGAGCTCTGGAGCCCAGCGCCCGCCGCGGCTGTGTGCACGGCGCGCTTGCCCAGGGGAGGGAGGGACGGCTGGGCCCGAGCCAGGGTGGCTGGGTGTCATCCTCATGGTGGCTTAGGACACACACTTGTGCTGGGGCACGCGGGTGCCCTCCTGGGCTCGGGGGGAGGGGGCTGTCGGGCTGTCTCTGTTCCTGGGCCTGAGTCTGGGCAGGCGCAGCGCCCAGCGCAGCCGCGCTGAGGAACAGTCCAGCTGAGTGTGTGCGAAGGAGCTCGCTCAGCAGAACCATCTGGGCAGCGAGAAGCCCTCGCAGAACTCCAGGCGGCAGCGTCTGGCAAGTACTCCCACGGGACTCATCTCAAGCTTCCAGTGTGATGCCACTGAACAAGAGGTTGCGGGGTGCTGGACTTACTCTACGCTATTCCAGACACTAACCACCCCCGGCAAACAGCCAATTATAGTAATTGCTTTTGTTTAACCAGGAAAGGTTAGCTACTGCTTGGTACTGAAGCCAGTGGGAGAGGAGTCCACTGCCC